ATGAACCATTTTACAGGGAATACTTAAGTCTATTACTGGTAAAGAAGATATGAAAATTCACATCAGGGAAGATATTCAAGGTATCAAAAACAGCGAAGGTAACTTTACATAAGCTAACTATTGAAAAAATTAATCCAAAGGATATTGTCAAGATATGTCATTCAACAAAAATACCCAAAAAGGATAACTATGAAGAAGTAATATTCTTTATTGTTATTTTTAATATCATATCCGATTGGTACTTTGAGATATGAAAATGGATGAAAACTCTCCACTATGGAAAATACAATAAGATAAATTTTTATCCAGGAGCACCAACAATCTGGGTACGAAAATGCTTTGAATTAGGAAATATACTATGTATATATCCTAGTAAAGATCTCATAGAGATAGCCCAGCTTCCAATTGATGTTAGGAAAGCGGCAGAAAGATATACTGAAGTAATAAGATCATGTTCTTGAATATATGCAGTCATCGTTCCATGTTATTAAAATGGGACTTACAAATCAACATTATTTACCAACTAGTCTAAAGGTTGTTAAAAATTACTACTAAGATATTGTAAATGTGATGCCTTACATAAGAGCAAAAGGATATAAATACTAAATAGATATTTGAACATGTAACTCAGTTGATTACTGAAAAAGAAAAGATATAGATCTATCCGTCAGAATACCATATAATTTATTCCAATTCAAGGATTGCTACAAAAGAAGAATATATGTGTACTCTTGACCATTTATTATTCAGTATAATCTCAGACCAAGCAAGTGGATCTGAAGATATGGCTAAAGAATCGTGCAAGATACTCTGGGACTACAGTGATCACCATTGTGAGTATTGCGTCGTAGAAGATATGAGTCAAGCATCTCTCAAAAGTGAAGAATTCCCCGCGGAGTTCTTTGATTCGCGAATGGAAAAGTAGTGGAACCAAGACAGTGACCATTTATCACTACTTTAATAAAGTCACTTTATTAAAGAAAAACGGTGGTACTAAAAGACAGAAGATAATCATTGTGATTATAACCCTTCACTCACTAAGTCGTTATATGTCATAGTCCAGCTCAAAAGATAAGGTAAGCCAACAAAAGATAGTGGAAGACAAAGATAATGGCAAACACTTGTGAAGATAAGATTCCTTATCACTAAAGAAAAAACCTCTATAAAAGGGAGGATGTTCAAATGTTCAAGATATCCCCAAAAGAAATATCATCTCGAAACAACTACTTAGAATTTAATCTTTTGTAATCTGTATACACCACTTGTATTCAGAAATATTAGAAAGTCTGAAGATAGCAAAGCTTGTAATAAAGCAATCACTTATGGAGTTTTAAACTTCATAAAGTGAGTATCAAATGTATGTAAATATAGTGTGCAAGCATGTACTATTTCAGTTTATGAATATAAAGATGAAATTTGTTATGTTCAACAAAATTTTCATAAAAGGATTTCGTTAAGTTTCTCATGATTCCTCGACAGTACAGATAGAGATTTTAAAAAATTTTCAAAACATTGTTTTTGAATGGATGTTAGCCATGTCAAAGTACCCACTTTGATGAATGTTTAAGGGGAAAATGACAGTTTTCTAACAAAAATTGTAGCACCTTATGTGTGAGTTATCATTTAAAATTTCATTCTAAGTAAGAACTTCATTCTGAAAAGAGTTTGGATAGAGGTGAAAACAAAGACTGAATAATGTGAGATAGCGTATGTGGTAACACGGCTATTTCTCTAGAGTGAGAAATGCAACCTTAATTGAAAAGCCTTTTGCGGAAGCAGTTGTGGACTCAAATGATTTCAAAACATTTTAAATATTCATTTGATTCAGAAGATTGATTAAGTACATGCAAAACAACTATAAGAACATGTTGGAGGGAAAGCCTAGTTATTTCCATTTATTACTGCAAGTTATTTACATGCTTTTATATGCTTATGCTTAAATTACTATTGATCTTTATGAACACTTCACAAGCATCAACATCCAATGATTATTGTCTTAAATTATATTTAAATAAAAAAGATATTTCGTTTTTACTAAGTATAGTTGAAAAATCTGAAGATATACTTCCTGTGGCAGAGAAAAACTTAAAGAAATATATTTTGATATAGATTATGTTTGTAAACATAATATAGGATTTGATTCTGTAGAAACTCGTAAAGAAATAAAAAAGATCGAAGATATTATAACTAAATACGAAGATATAGAAGAAGAAGTTTCAGAAGTAATTGTTTTTGGATATATAACTAAAAAAGACCAATCTAGAGCTTTTGAAAAATTGACAAAATATAGAGAATATTTAGAACAAATTGAAAGGTTAAAGAAATATCGTATAAATAATAATTCTGATTAATTTAATTTAATAAAAGATTTAGAAAGATTCAAGATAATACCAGTGAATTAAGATCTAGAGAAATGAGACTCCTTGAAGAACTTAGAAGAGAAAATAATACAAAAAAGTGATATAAGATCCTAAAAACTATAAGATATCACCAATACGAGCAACAACAATACTTGATTTGGTTACAAGAAAATACTGAACTAAGATTCTCAGGATTAGTTCTAAGAACCTACGACCCAAACGGAAGAATTGTAAGATATAATCTTGAACAACCTGACAACTAAAAGGTACAGGACATACTTTGCAAATAAAGAAAGTAAAGGCAAAATAGTATTTTAACAATAGAGGCTATTTAAACAAAAATCATTGTTGACTAGTCTATTTAAATGAATACCCCTTAATATTTTTCCCATTTTTACACACTATTCAAACAAAACAAATCAGTCCATACAAACAACTTTCACCTCATTTGCAATCGGGTCACTAAACTTCAATTAGAGCAATTTACTTAAACTTTGATTGAATTAATTTCTTTTGTTCCCTCATACCACTATTATTCGATGCTCTGTTCTCCACTTCTCCCCAGGTCTCATCTTCTGGATTTAGTCTCTCAACGTTGTTCAATAATACAATAATTATAAAAATGTACTTACGATATTAGGTTGTTGGTAGGAACTATTAGAATAAGATGCGAACAACAAAGTGGCTAAAGCAGCATCGGTAACGATTGGAATAAGATGCGAAAAACAAGACTTTCGCCTCTAGATGGCTATTTTTATTTTGAAATCTTCCACTGTCTGTGTTAGTGATATCAAGATTTATTGCATGTGTTGTATGTTTTAATGGACCATGCTTCTTGTACATCAAAGAGTATATAAGGGTGTACATAATGGACACCCGACATCATTTCATAGAAGGGAGTGCTGATCCCACAGACACTCCCTCCAATAGGAAGGTGCCGGGTGTCCATTATGGATACCCTTATGTACACTTTGATGTACATCTATCATTATCCTGTTTTAATAGATCAAATCGTTTTATCAATCTCGTTTATGTTATCGTAGTTTTGTTGGGTTTTGGTTTTTTGAAGAAACTGTATTGATTTCTTCTATGATATTAAATTAATTTTTTTTTATCTCAGAATAAGTTACTTGATCTACTTGGAAAGTTAAGAATTTGATTTTTGAATCCCTCGTTTTTTTACTAGTTAGTGTTATAGATATATTAAAAAGGTTAAAGAAAATTGTTTATATATGGTAAAAATGTAATCATAGTTGTTGGGGGTGAAAATTTGGCTTGATTTCTAATAAATTGAAGTTCAATGACCTTATAATTAAAGTGAAAGTTTTGTTAATCTACTAATCATGATAGGTGGATAGAGCTAATTCCTATGTGCACATAAACAAAGCCAAACAAGAATGGCTTGATTACCTTTTTAAATTAAAGTATACTATCTTAATTGCTTCAAATTGAAATTCAACGACTTTAAGCATTCACCGATATAATCTCACTCGCTCTTGAACTCTGCAGCGAGTTTAGCCGCCGCCTCAAAGGCTGAGCTTTACTAAAGAATAGACCTCATAGTGCATGTTTGGTAAATTATAAGTTGATCAAACTCTATTTTTTATTCACATATTTTATAAGATCTACAACTTTTACCATTCATTATCCATATATTTTGTAGAATCCATAATTTTTAATATAATAAAAACTTTGCCAAACATGTTCATAGTCGGCCAACTTAGCTTAACTTCTAGCATTGCAAAGGGATAACTTTTCATGAATAATGAATGATTGAACATGCTCAAAAATAGGGAAATGATGGAACTGACAGTACTTGTTTGAATTATTTTTTTCAAGCTGTCCAATCATGTGTCGACATGTGTCCCCCTTGTTTTTTAGTCTGTTTGTGTAGCGTGATTGACTTTTCATTTAACTAGATGACCTTGAAGGAAGGTCCCACAGGCTTTTCCCCAAAGATCAAGCCATCAAGGCCGCCTTGAGATAGCCAATGCAAGATCAGGGAGTGGTGGAAGGAGGTGGCGGTGGGTGGTGGTGCTAGGTAAATATCACTATTAAAAAAATGGGGATAAATTTCATTTCATTTTTACATAAAGTAGGTAATACACCTAAATTTCGTTAAGTATGGTTTTTCAAGGGCTGACCGGCCCACAAAGACCCAAAAATAACAGAGAGAAAAGAGTGTGCACGTCATTTTCCATTCAGAAACTCTGTTTGTGTCGAAGACCAAACTAAAATGTTTACTTCAAAATACTTCATCTGGAGTGGAGGCAAAGCGAAAGCCCACCAAACCACCCTTTCTCTGTCTAAAACATTTGTGTTTCTCTCTCTAACCTTTCTTCTTCAACACCAAGTCAGTCTCAAGTCCTTTTCTTTCAAACAAACTCTCTTCTTCTCTGCCAAAATTTACATTTCATTGTTTATTTAAAAAAAAAAAGGAATTCTATAAGTTATAAACTACATTTGAAGCAAGTTTAGGTAACCGATAGCAACTCTAAACATGCCGTTCCATTTACAGCATTTCTCTTACATCAAGTCTTTGCATTTCGAACACAAATTCTTGGGTGCATTGCTAAATAAATATAGAGTTTGTAGTTTTCTTGATTCCTTGGGTATTTTTCTACTATTGGGTTCAAAAAAATGCAGCTGCATATATCGCCTAGTTTGAGGCATGTCACCGTTTTGCCTGGTAAAGGTGTTAGAGAATTTATAAAAGTGAAGATTGGGTCGAGAAGATTTTCGTATCGAATGGTCTTTTATTCGCTTCTGTTCTTCACTTTTCTTCTTCGTTTTGTGTTTGTGTTAACTGCTGTCAACGCCATTGATGGAGAAACCAAATGTTCAACACTAGGTATCTCTCTCTCTCTCACTCTCTCTCAGCAATTAATGATCCAAAATGGGGTTTTGAAGAATGTGGTTTATAATGTGGCATTTGAGCTTGAGCTGGCTGACATGCATATATAAAGCAGTTTTTTGTCTTCAAGCATTTTCACAATTTGTAATGCACAAGATTTTTTATCATTAGGTAAATAACTACCTTTTTAAATAAAGATCGATGAGTACAGTATCACCATCGAAAGTGTTTTTTTTTTGTAAGATTCAGGCAGATGAATATATTTTTATTTTTTATTTATAATATCACCACCAGTGAAGTCAACATATTCATTGGTATTTTATTCTGGAAGAATTTTTTTATTAGTATTTAATTTTTTTAATTTCTATTATTTTATTTATTGACAAATTTCGTCGCTGAATAAGATTTATTTAACTATTTATATTTCGATATTATTAAAATGCTCTTCCTAGTCTTAAATTATTATCTAAATATTGATTCTAAAAGTGAGGTTTTTTTGTTATTTTTTTGGTACTTTATTGAATGACAGAAATATTTTCGATAAATTAAATATATTAAGACATCATTAATAAAATTATTGCTGCAAAAAAAATATTATTAATCTTTAGTTATTATTTTTAATTGTTATTTTATAACTATGAACTTTTCCATCAATAATGTTTATGTTTTATTTTTTTAACTTTCTGTAGTGACATAATTTCGGTCTGTAAATGAAATATACGTCAATAAAGCTATTTGAAATGATTTTTTATTAAAATTTGAGAGCATTAATAAATTATTATTTTCGTGTTACTTAATCTAGAGATTGAGCTGACTCTATCGTAAATGTCTTGTCTTGTATCAACATGTTTCAAATGTTTTTTTAATTGACATGTGCTTGGTGTACAATCATTACATGATCGTAAAATCTTACAACCTCTCATATTAGTGTGAGACCCACAATTTAATTAATTTGTGGGTTCCACACTAATGTGAGAGGTTGTAAGATTTACAGCCATCTAATGATTGTACAAGTGGATTTTTCCTTTTTAATTTTTTGACTGCTGGGATCCATGCACCTTTTTATTTTGAACTTCCAAGTTATCCATTAAGCTATGCTTACATTTTTCTGGCAACTTCAATAGTGATAAAATCTTAATTCTCATCAAGTGTAGGCTGCTTGGGGAAAAAATTAGGTCCAAAAATTTTGGGAAGAAGAATTGAAGCAACTGTAATCTCCTAAACCCTGTTTTTATCTTTACACGAGACGTAACGGGCTAAATACACTGATAGTTACTAAAACTTTAGCGAAATTTCACGTTGGTTAAGTACAATTACCAGCTTACAACGAAAAAACCTAGCGATTACAGGAAATTTCGCTAAAAGTTCAATGTGGATCGGTGTTTTTAACCCGTCGTTTATCATTGAGATACCATTTGGCAGTATGGAACTGTTGAGATAACTACTCTCTCTGTGTTTCTGTTAGATTCCTGAAGTTATATATCAAGTTTTGGAAGAACCTGTTAATCAAAGTGAAATAGAATTAGGACCAGAAATCCCTCAAACACTTGAAGATTTTGTTGCTGAGATGAAAGATGGACAGTCAGATGCAAAGACCTTTGCTGTCAAGCTCAAAGCTATGGTAATCAAAAACGATTTCTTAAGAACATGAATCGCATTAGCTTCTCATGTCATCATATTGAGTTATTTCTCACTAAGCTTTCAAATGGTTGGTTCTCACAGGTGACGTTGTTCGAACAAAGGACTAGAACAGCGAAAATCCAAGAATATCTGTATCGCCACGTGGCATCGAGTAGCATACCGAAACAGCTGCATTGTCTTGCTCTAAGACTAGCGAACGAGCACTCTACTAATGCCAATGCCCGTCTCCAGCTACCCTCGGCAGAATTCGTCCCTGCCCTGGTTGATAACTCGTTCTTCCACTTTGTGCTCGCCTCCGACAATGTCCTTGCCGCCTCTGTTGTTGCATCATCACTTGTGCAAAACTCATTGCGCCCTGAGAGGGTAGTCCTACACATAATTACAGATAGAAAGACCTACTATCCAATGCAGGCATGGTTTTCACTGCATCCTTTGACACCAGCAATCATTGAAGTCAAAGCATTGCACCATTTTGATTGGTTAACAAAGGGGAAGGTCCCTGTGTTGGAAGCAATGGAGAAAGACCAAAAAGTTCGCTCGCAGTTTAGGGGAGGGTCAACGGCCATTGTGACAAATAACACTGAACAACCTAAAGTTATTGCCGCAAAATTGCAGGCACTTAGCCCCAAGTACAATTCAGTGATGAATCACATTCGGATACATTTTCCAGAGGTGAGTCTCAAAGTTGTGATGCTTTCCCTAAAATGGTTAAATAGCCATTGTCTAATATGCAAAATGCATTTTATTTGCAGTTGTTTCCTAGTCTTAACAAGATAGTCTTCCTGGACGATGACATTGTGGTGCAAACTGACCTTTCACCTCTGTGGGATATCGAAATGAATGGAAAGGTCAATGGAGCAGTCGAGACATGTATTGGTGAAGACAAATATGTCATGTCGAAGAAGTTCAAAAGTTATTTGAACTTTTCTCATCCTCTGATAGCAAACAATTTTAATCCTAATGAATGTGCATGGGCATATGGCATGAACATTTTCGATCTAGCCGCTTGGAGGAAAACAAATATTAGTCAGATATACCATCACTGGATTGAAGAGGTAATGGATTCCTAAGAAATTTGGAATTGTCGAATTTCTTAAATAAATCAAATGTTTTCTGATGATGTCTTAATTTCCCCCTGCAGAACATAAAATCAGACTTAAGTTTGTGGCAGCTAGGAACCTTACCTCCCGGTCTAATAGCTTTTCATGGACATACCTATGCGATCGATCCCTTTTGGCACATGCTAGGATTAGGATACCAGGAAAACACAACTGTTGCAGATGCTGAAAGTGCCGGTGTCATCCACTTTAATGGTCGAGCAAAGCCATGGCTAGATATAGCATTTCCACAACTACGACCACTGTGGACCAAGTATGTCAACTTCTCAGACAGATTCATCAAGGGATGTCATATAAGAGCATCTTAGACCAATTTATGGAGGAGGAACCCACTTGTGCTCATCACCTGTAAATGAAAAAGGATGTTCTTCACAATACATGAATATGATTACTGGGCAGATGGTACCAGTCACAGGCTTTAAATTTTGAGAAATCTTCCTCAATTTTCAAGTTCTTGATGTATTATAATTTTTAAATTTTTTAAATATTTTAACAAGTACTAATTTCTTGGAGCCTTGAGGCACATCAAATTAAATGTTATATGGAATGTGCAGAATGTCAGAACCCAGTTTCAGCATATCAAGATTTCCGATTAGCGAAAATTTCGGGATGTGGTCATACAGCATTTCATATTTGTAACCATCTATTCCAAAAGACAGAGGCAATGTCATGAGCGGATATTGAAACCAAGTAATACAAGAAGTATTTTTATCCGGTTAAAATTCTTATTTTCATTCAAGCATTTTAACACAGATTCTCAAAATTCTCATAACAGAGTAGAGTTCAAGAAAAAATTCAGGTAACAAGCTCTCATTTTCAGAATAGCACTTACTTCTTCCCTGTCACATTGGACACCAAATCCTTTAAGAACTTAGCAGATTTTGTAATGGGAGAATTGATAGCCATTAAATTGTACAGAACATTCTCGACTTCAACGATTGATGGCCGCACTTTAAAGGTCGAAACCACTTGCAATTCCCCTTCTTCTTCAACCAACACATTCCATTTCTCACCACTCAAGATCCCATCTTTCACACATTTGAAAATCACACCTTTTCTCTTGCTCAAAATCCCTTTAACCTCCAACCCCATAAATGAATAAACAACCTCAAAAGTACCCACAAAACCACTCAGTTCACCAAAATCACTCTCCTCTTCAAAGCTCCATTTAGGATTGAAAATTATTACTGGCGTTGGATAAATACTGTCAGTAACTGTCTTCATGATTGATAATTGTGAAGACTCGGGGGACAAAAACACAGCCACATCAGCAGAATTCAAAATTCTTGTATCCTCCTTAATAACTGATGATATATGAATGTTTTCGATAACAATGTTTGAAGACTGAGACTCAAAGGCCACAGCAGCAGCAGCTTGAGTTAAGCTCTGGGTAGGCCATATGATAAGAATCTTGGTCTTTGATCCTTTTCTTCTAATTGGCATTTCACCAAACACTTCAAGTGCTAGTTGCGTGAGTGAAGCTGGCGAGTCATCAATAACCGGAATTTCAACCCGGAATCTCGGCTGCTTCACTTTTTTGATCTTTCCGGCGAGTCTTGGGTTGTTGAGAGGCTTCTCCAAGGAGGACGAAAGCGAAGTTTTTACTTGGTGAATAGCTTCTTCTTTTGTCGTTGGAGGATTGATGGAAGATAGAGAACATTTCAGGGATAAAGATGAGAATGAAATTCCTGATTCTAGCAGGGTTTTGGGTTTTAGGAAGCGAAATTTAGGGTCAGAAATTTTGATGGTTTGATGATGAATTTGGAGGAATTTGGAAGCCATTTTGATCACTCAAAAAGTAAAAAAGTAGGCCTTTTCTGGGAAGAAATTTACAGATCCTACCAGATAAGGAAATAGCACTTGGAACAATCTGAGCCTCAAAAAACCAGCAAGAACAGAGTACAGATTTTATTATTATTATTTTATTTTGTTTTTATTTTCATTTTTTTTTGGCAGCATTCAGCAAAATTTGCACACAGATGGATAGGCTCCATCACGCAAAATCCAGATAACATCAAAAAGTGCCATTGTAACCAGACAATTTCAATTTTTGTGTTAAAAATGTGAATTAAATCAGCAGTGCTTGTTACTCTTTTTACAGTTGGTATTTCACCACTGTAAGCCATATGGAATACCCTTAGAAAACACGTGCAAAATTAACTTTTTAACACTTCACAACAAAACAAGCATCAACTAAATTGATGTTTGGGAACCGAAAGTACTTCCAATCATCTGCTAAATCCAAGTCCGACAGTTGAGCAAAAACTAAGACAGTCAAAAGGCATTGACAATATAAATTTAACAGTTAGACCAAAATGAAAACTACACCATCATAAGATTTGGCTACCAACTTAGGCAACTGGCGGGCGAAGCACATGGTCCTGTGAAGTATCAACAGCTGCGGGTGGCATGAATTGCCACATAGCAACTCCAGGATAACTGATGATGGGCACCAACTTGTTGCTCCCAGCTTGGCCCGCAGCAGCAAAAGCAGCAGGTATGGCATGAGGAGGGGGAAGAAAGCCAGGTTGGACATTCATGGTATTTAGTTGTTGCTCTAGCCTCTCTTTCTCAGCCTTTAACCTTTGCTTCTCATCACGAAGATCGTTCTTCTCAGCCTACACATATTAGTGGAACTTGCATAAGAGTTGCATACATAGTGATCGTCTTTTGGTTCACCATCCATATTTAAAGAAAAAAAGTTCACATCCACAGATATTAATGGAGACTATATAAATAAAGTGTGGAGAAAACTTTCTAGCCTTCAGTTCTTTAATCTTCTCCTGAAGATTCGAATTGGAGTCTTTTAGCTTCTGGGCTTCACCTCGTAGCTGAGTTACCATACGAACTGCATCAACCAAGATGGCAGCCTTGTCTGTTTTAGGAGGTCGTCCAGGCTCGAGAAGAGCACCCAATTCCATAAACCTATCGAGCATATCCAAGCAGTTAGTAGAGGAGAGTAAAGGGGGGCAGGACAGAGGAGACATCAGAGACCACGATCATACTTGTCATTTAGCTTATCCCTTCGTTGTTTTTCTCTGCATGCTTTAGAACTTGATGGAGTGCATGATTCCGCTCTAGGTCTATGTAAGGTAAAAAAATGTGAGAAAATATAAATGAAGGTCTAGCAGCAAAAGAATAATACCATATCTATTTGATTATATATTTATTTGCCTCTCCCATATAGTTGGAATTTACAATACCAATGTTCACTTCATGAAATGAAACTCTTATAACATCTATCATAGATAGACAAGCAATGCTACAACATCACAAGCAGGTATAAACGCCATGGGAGGCTGAAATTTATGAGCAACAGCTATACGGTGTAAGGAGATTAAGAAACCCCTCCCTCACCCCAATCCTAGAAGAAAAAACTATATATTAGAGTAACACGTACATCACTGAGCATCTTTACATAAAACCCAGAACAACTGATCAACTGTCCAAGATATGTAAACCAAGAAAATGCTCTTTACCTCTTTTTTGAGGCAGTTTCCTTCCGCATGTCTGATTCCCCAAATGAGCCATCAATTCCCACACTATCAATAGATTGGATCGGCATAAATAAAAGGGTGAGTACAGTGAAAATGATATTTTCTAGTGTGAAATTGAAGAAAAAAACACTGAATTGGTTACTAAAAAAAGAAACCTTAGAACTTCAAAAAGAACTTGCAAAGAATTGAACATGTTTATCCTTCATATACAGTTAAGCCTTATTCCCAACAAATCTGATGTCAACATATTTTCCCCTCATATAACAATAGAATAGTTATCGTGTTACTTTGCGATACGAAGAATAAATAAAACAAGAAGCACCTTCTTGGGTGCTTGAAAGTTTCTGTGTGACAATATATAGAAGGCCCAACAACTAATCTGATTACAAACAAACTCCAAAACATCTAATCAAGATCTATTGGAGCATTATCAACTTCTAATACTAGAATTGAAACACAAGTTTTGAAAAAATCAAATATCAATACCTATGGATACAAGAAATAAATAAAAGAATAAGGAATACAAAATATGAAATTCAAGAACAAATATAAAAAATCACAAAAATCCAAAAGACTGTCCATAGAATGGCTCCAATTTGCAACAACAAACAACTAAATCAAAAACTGAACTAATGGTTAAGTACCACAATGAATTACAAAAACAATTGCCCCAAAAACATCCCATCAAAATCAAAATAAAGGAAATGAAAAACCTTTATGAGAGCCCCAAAACATGCGAATCACAAGAAGCATTATAATTACATTCAAAATACTACCTGGCATTAGATGAACCATTCAAAGCTTGAATAGGCCAAGAAAACCCAGCTGGTGGAGCAGAGAAATTCCCAAGGGGAACCGGGATATCCTCGACCTCATAGTCATACAACCAATTCGTGTTTTCCGGTGAAACCATTTCCAAACCGCCGCCGGAAAGAGAACCTTTTTCTGGCGTTGAAGCAAATCTTCAGTCAAAAATTGCCTCGGAAAATTGGGTTCACGGTAGTTGAAAAATGGACAAGGGGATTTGTGAAGAAATTTCAATTTACGTTAATTTAATTTGATACAAATTGGGTGATATGCGAAAATTATATTCCACAAGAACACGCTATGAGTATGAGGACCACCTGGTCTCGCTGGAAGTAAAGTATTTTTTTTTTTTTAAATAAAAAAAAAAATCCAAATTGTCACCTAAGACAATTATTAAATGATAAATTCATTTAAATGAATAGTCACATTACTCATTTAGTTAAACTTATAAATTATAGTAGCCTAAATTGGTATTCTAGTATCAATGATGTTAGATAATATTATTCAGACACTTATTGATTATTATTAGTAAATGGGATAATTGCAGTAGACATCTCAAATCTTTTAAATAGTTGCAGACTTTCCTCTGACCTTTTATTCATTGCAACCGTCATCATTAACCTTTCGAAAAATTGCGGTTGAAGCCCGAATGGACGAATTTCATCTAAATGTTTGTTAGTTGACCAAGAAATTGAGTTTGACCACATTTTTTATATTTTTTGTAAAGGGCATAATGGAAAAAATTCACATTTCTGTTCAATTCATCTGTACGCAACAACTTAGGACCATCCTCCCCAATTTCTGAATCCATCAATTCTAATTCTTCACGTAGATCATCAATTTCGCTTTCCATTTCTTTGATTTTGGCCCTAATTTTCAAATTTTGTCTTCTCTTTTCTTTAACATATTTCTTAATTGTTGATACCTGATGCTGTGAATTGAGGCTCATATTCATTCTTCTCTTTTGCATTTGAATTTCTATTAAACCCAGAGGTTTGAAATATCAAAACAAAATTCCATTGCAAATGAGGAATATGTAGTTTCTTTCACCATTGTAAACAAAGAATTTGATGGAAATATCAAATGCAAAATAATCAAAAATTGATTGACAGAAAAGGAAAAATAAGGGGATGGTGGCGATGGCAGTTAGTTTTGGTTTGATGATGATGTGGTTTACGGTACAACTCGTGTGAGATGGGTGACTGTGGTGGCCGACGATAGTGTCGGCGGTGGAAAAGGGGATTGGGGTAAGGGTGCGGGATTTGAAGAAGCCAATTCCTTTTTTTTTCTTAAATTGTTGGTTTTTTAAATTTATTATTTACATTTTTTTTTGTTCTCTAATTTCATTTTAACTTATTTTAATATAGTAAATTGGAAGTTACCATTATGCCATTTACAAAAAATATAAAAAATGTGGTCAAACTCAATTTCTTGGTCAACTAATAGACATTTTGATGGAATCCGTCCATTGGGGCTTCAGTCGCAACGTTTCGAAAGGTTAGGAGTGACAGTTGCAACTAATGAAAGGTCAGGAGAAGGTCTGCAACCATTTGAAAGGTTTGGGCCTCTGCTGCAATTATCCCTTAGTAAATTATGGTCTTGCTCCCCATTCTTTTATATAGTGTGATTATTGTTTCTCAACTTTTAAAATAAAATTTTGGATCCTCAACTTATTTGAGTTTATAAATTTAGATCACATGTGTTGAAAATAACCCAAATGTTCAAATAGCACGCGAATTTCAGTTATAAATTGAATATAAATGTCACGTGGTTTGATGGTTGTGACATTTAGTCATTAGTCATCTAAAAGTTGCATATGATTTTAACATTTATATTGACGATTCAATTTTTGTCAAACATGCCCAACTCGACCTTTTTAAAGACAAGTCGAGTCTTTTATTTTTCACTTCTGAAAATACGTCTATTATCAACTTTATTTAAACTTTAGATATTTATATAATTGACATAGATGGAATCTACATATATTTTACATTTTACGCAAATTCATAAATATAGCAATCTTATTTCAACGTCAAAATGATAATCGAAGAATAATATTTCAATCCACAAAGGGTCAAAAGATATGGGAAAGAGATGGCCACAAAAATACGATGCTACCCATACAGCATCTTTTGCCAATTTTTTTAAATTTTAGCTGGATATTGATGCTGACTTGTCAACTTGCTATTGGTTAATTTTTTCATCATCAATCTTTGTATTCTATGGAAGATAATTTGTTCTTTAATAGCTTAATAGTGTTGAGTAAAAGCAATTGATACAGCCACTAAGCAAGAATTACACATAGTTATATACAATTAGGTGATTGAAGATGATATCACATTATTCCTTTTTCTGGGATGTCATAATCTGAGTCTTCTATTTGTTAAAATTAGTAATCTACTTATTTTTAATAATCACTTATTGCAAATTAACTTTTCAAGCTTTGCCAAACATGCTAAGTCATATTCAGCACTAGCAACACAGCATTAAACAAGATGACAGTAGCACGACCTTTTCTGAATGTTTATGCATAATTCATTAATAAAACATTTTATCTAGATTAATGGTTCATTATTTTTGTTTAATTATACTTGTAACAGTTGGATTGGCTTAATTGACATCACTTACTTTTTTGGTACAGTATTTTATACATGTTGGGACATTGGAACACTAACCAAATGAATTTCCACACCAGAAAAGTTAGGTAGTGAAACTACTGTATAGTAACATCAGAGTTGAATCGATCATCTTTTGTTTGATCCTCATTTTTTTAAAAAATATTTTTTTTAATCTCTTCTTTTCAACCACACACAGAGGCGGACCCGAGGGGGTTCTGGGGGCACGTGCCCCCATCCCCCCAACTTTTGAGTTTTTTTTTATTATATATAAAGTCATATTTTGTATTGATTGAAATATAAATTTTAATCTAAATCAAAGTTAACAATTAATTTTAATAACATATTTAATAGAATCCATAACTATTTTAACTTTTATCAAAATTTACTAAAAATTGATTTTAATCTCCATCAAACATGGACAAAATCACAATAAATTTTAATTTTTCTATTTTTCTCTCGTCTTTTAACAAAAGTTTAACTTTCCATCAAATAAGGGAAAAATATTGCATTATTACTATCATTTCGAAGTGTTCACGGTCTAATTTTTTACGTCGTTAATGACGTACAAAACGATCAATCGTAGCAAGTGCTACAACTTGTCGAAGTAAGACATTCAAAATTAGTATTTCGAAAATTTCGATAATATGATAACTTTAAAAAATTTTCAACAATCTTACGCTAATCGAATTTACAAATTACTTATATCATCTCAAAACTTATTTCGAGAACTTCATTATGGTATATCAAATAATCCAAACAGATATCGAAAATAGTTAAAAATGCGTTAAACGTAAGTTTCAAAGAAAGACCTTTAACTTATTTTCTTTAAAAAAATTCAATTATTTCATTAACAATTATTACTTTTACAATACAAATTTCTCAATATAATTTTCATCCTTTTATTAATTTTCTTTAAAAAAAATCAATTATTCATTAACATTGATTATTTTTGTAATACAAATTTTTCAATGTAATTTTCATCATTTTATTAGGAAATTTTATATGAAATATGACATAAATTTTTTTTCGAAATTTTATATCTGAAAAAGCCACATCCCATGTAAATTTTCGGATGCAAAATTACATGGGGGTATGATTTTTTTGGACGTAAATTTTAAATTGTAAAATTTCTCTCAATTTCTTTCCAAGTTCGATCGTACCCCCTAATTTTAAACTTCTGCGTCTACCCCTGACCACACATTTTCAATAAAATAATATTACACTCAAATACAAAACCTTTTTTTTATTATTTTTTAACTACACATTTTCTATCAATCTACTATTCCAAAATGTATTTTATAAAAAAAACAACGGGGGCTCAAACAGGCCCATATCTCACTTAAATATAGCTGAGCAAACTAAAGGTCTGTATGACGGAACTTTTGAAAAGCAAAAAATTATTTCTATGACTAAAAATTGGATTTTGAACGTGTTTCGATAATTTTTTGAATGTATTTTGTCTGATTAGAAGAACTTTTAGAGCAATTTGATATAAGGTAACTGTTGATAGATGAAGTCACTTTTGCAGCCAATTTCTTTGACCACTAATGAAGATTGGTTTTGTGCATAAAGTTATGGTGGGAAATCATTTCTCAGCCACTATTACCATTTAATGAGGAAGAGTGCAAGATTTGTAAAAGTTAGAAGGCAGAATTTTTGGGAAATACATGGAAATGACCCAAATTCAAGGTCATATTTTCAAAATAACCCATTTCACTATTCAACCATATAAACTACCTAAAATACTCTTAGTATAAAAAGTTTCAAAACAAATCATTTTAGTC